GCCCTGTGTCAGTGACTTATAGTTCATTTAAAGCTCCCTTTTCTGACCCTCTTGTCTGCCAGTCTACCTGGCAGTAACCCAGTAACCCCAGTAAAGTGCTTATGAAGAAGAAAACATACAACCTTCTATCTAGTCCAAAAGAGTCTCTCACCCAGGATCCTCCTTCCACACTAAGGATCGCTGAGGCTGAGAACATGCCTCCCCTCGTCCTCAAGACCACGGGATCCTCATTCCATCACTCCAGACTAACCAAATGTCTCCTCCTCAGGAAGCCCTGGGACGGGAGGGGGCAGCTCAGAGGATAAGGGATCTCTTCTAGCTCTAGTCTCCTGAGCTGCTCTGCTCTGTGGGACTTGGAGAGATTTCTGGAAATGGAGCAGAGAGAGAGAGAAGATGAGAAAACAAAGGGGGGGGGGTTGGAGGAATTAGGGTTGAAAATTTGAAGCTAGACTGAATGACACAATGAGGCTCTGTCAAGGAAGAATTGGAATGGGGGAGGGGCTCAGGAGGCCCAGACCTCCCTGAGGGTCTGCAGGCAGTTAATGATTTCTGGAGGGAGAAAAGAGACTCCTCAGCCAAGGGGTATACCACTGGTAAGGTACCCATGCAACTGTAAATAACCTTTTACTTGTTAACAGGACTCTAGTGGAATTCAATGGGTCATTAGAAGAAGAGGAGGAAGAATACATGACAACAACAAAGTAAAAGGGGAAGAGTTGGGATGACAAGTCATCAGTGGGAGTGAGATGGGTGATGGTGAATATGATCAAAATGCATTGTGCTCACGTATGAAAATGTTGTAATGAAGTCCATTATTAGATATAATTAATAATACAATATAAACTTTTTTTTTTTAAAGAAGGAAATTGGAACTGGGAAACAAGCAAGAAAATGAAAAGGATTCCTCCATTGATGGAAAATGCTGAGTCCCTCTACCCGCAAGCTCGCATTGACAAAGCGTCCTATTAACTCCTAGCCCTGTCTGTGTCTTAGCTTTTGTTTATACTAAGCCATTAAGACAGATAACTTGGGACTGGAGTGATGGCTAGCACTGACTGCTCTTTCCAAAGGACCTGGGTTTGGCCCCCAGGACCCGCATGGTGGCTTACAACCATCTGTAACTCCAGCTTTAGGGGATCTGATGTTCAATTTGAATTCTATAGGCAACAGGTTTGCTCATGGTGCATATAAACAATATGCAAACAAAACTCTGAACATCAAATAAATAAATTTAGACTGGAACCTGTAGCTTTTTCCATATCTCCCCTCGATGGGGGATGTCCTTCTGTATACATGTGTCTCTTATTGGTTGATGAATAAAACACTGTTTGGCCAATAGAGGCAGGAAGATAGGCAGGACTAGGAGACGAGGAGAATTCTGGGAAAGATAGGCAGAGGGAGACCTCAAAGAGATGCCATGTAGAGACCAGGAAGTCAGAACTTGCCAGGCATTCTCTGGTAAGATAAGGCCATGCAGAAATACATAGATTAGTAGTTATGGGTTAATAATTAAAAGAGAGCTAGACAATAAGAAGCCCTTGCCATTGGCTAACAGTTTAATAATTAATATAGCGTCTCTGTGTGTTTATTTGGGGCTGAAGCGGCAGTACGACTTGGTGGGACAAGAAACTCAAGCAACATTCCCTGCCCTGTCTTACTACTCTAAATGTCTTTTCTCTTTTCTGGTCACTCTCTCAATTTTGTTGCCAGTCACTGTTGAATGCTGAGGATGTCCAGCACCAATCCTCCAACCCCCACCCTAGGTCCTCCTTATTCTAATCTACTCCAGACTGAGGAGCAACTGCTAGTCCAACACATTAACACAATGCAGGAACATTTTTAGCATGTGCATTGGTCCTAATCCCACATTTTATCAGACATTATTAAAATGCAAAACCAGAGGCTGGGAAGATGGCTCAGCAATTAAAAGAACTTACTGCTCTTGCAGGGGATCTGGGTTCAGTTTCCAGTACCACATGCCACAATTACATGTAACTATATGTGGTGGTTTGAACAGGAAGGGCCCCATAGACTCACGTGTTTGACTGCCTGTCCCATAGGGAGTGGCACTATTAGGAGGTATGGCTCTTTTGGAGTAGGTGCGGCTTTGTTGGAGAAAGTGGTCACTGTGGGGGAGGGCTTTAAGGTCTCAGATGCCCAGGCTCAGTGGCACACAATTCTTTTTTTTTTTTTTTTTGCAGATTTTTTAATTTGAATTAGAAACAAGATTGTTTCACATGACAATCCCAGTTCCCTCTCCCTCCCTTACCCCCCTCCCCGCCCCCAACTAAAACCCTACCTATCACATATCCCTTCTGCTCCCCCTGGATGGTGAGGCCTTCCATAGGGCGTCACCAGAGTCTATCATATCCTTTGGGATAGGGCCTAGGCCCACCCCCGGGCACACAATTCTTTTGTGGCTGCCTGCAGATCAAGACGTAGAACTCTCTTCTCCTTCTCCAGCACCATGTCTGCCCACACACTGCCATGTTTCCCATCATGATGATACTGGACTAAATCTCTGAACCTGTAAGCCAGCCCCAATTAGATGCTTTCCTTTATAAGAGTTGCAGTGGTCATGGTGTCTCTTCCCAGCAATAGAAACCTAAACTAAGACACTTTAGTTCCAGGGGACCCATGACACAAACTTTGAGCATGTTCTGGCACCAGCATACATGATGCACATAAATTCATTCACCCACATACACCACCAACTTTAAGTTCTCTGCACTTCTGTACAAGAGGCAACAGAACATTAATAGGCTTGTGAGCCAGAAAATAGAAACTGCTCTACTTGTACAAAGACCTCAGTTGGGTCATTAAAACCCTTTAGCTTACACAGAGAATATTAAAATTAAATGCTGGTCAAACAACAAACTCAATCAATTAAAAGTAAGAAAAAAATAATAAAAAAACCTAAGTTATGTCTGTCTCTAGGATTATATAAATTGAGGCTAACAAAGACACATTAGTGTCAAAAATCCCAAGTTCCCTTAAGCCTCCTTATTAGCTCAATTTCAAAAGTTGAAACTAGACATGCTGTTAATCCAAGCAAAAAGTACAAAAAATAAAGAAAAAGTGTCACACTCTTATTTCTCTCACCACTACCACCACAGCCCCCCTCCCCCCACCCCAGGAGCCAAGCTAGCCTCAAACCCCCAGGCTCATGAGATAGATCCTCTTAGCTTCGGAGCAACTAGAACTTCAGGCAAATGCTCCCCCACTCTGATCTACTCAAACTTATTTCATTTTGGTTTCTGACTAGAATTCGAACTCACTCTCTTATCTTTATTCCCATTATTAATCTGCAGGAGCCTCCCACAGGTGACAAAACTGCGTGAGGCTGAGAGGCATGTGAGAGTGGCCTTCTGATAATTTTTTTTTGGACGGCAAATTGTCATAGCTCCGTGAAAAGTATTAGAGAAAAGGAAAGTCTTAATCCTGCCTTGAGGAGCCCCCGGGTGCTAGCCCACTGGATTCCCGAGTCCCACTTTGTGAAAGAAATATCTGACCTGAACAATTAAAGGAGGCAAACAGAGAGACCCAGCATCAGTTCTGATGTGTGTCTTTAAAGTAAAACCTGAATGTCTCAGGAAAGCACTAGGTACATCCTCTCCTTAGAGCCCACACTGCTGTAACAGTCACTGAAAAAGAAGCTCAGGCTTGGTGGTGCATGCCTGGCACTTAGAAAGACTGAAGCAGTAGGTTCACAGGCTCCAGGTCAGCCTTGGTGACAGTGATACTGTCTCAGAGAAAGAAGAACCAGGAGGTGATGGTGGGTGTGGTAGTGCATGCCTGTAAATGCCAGCACTTGGGAGGCTGAAGCAGGATAATGGGTGTGAATTCAAGACCATCCTGGGTTTCAAATCAAGACTTGTTTCAACAAATCAATAAAAATGAAAACAAACAAAAAGGTTTAGCTGGCAGGAAGTGGACAGGGTTCAGAAGGTAGTATTAGACACAAGCTAGAAGGCCCAGGGGGGCTGCTCGAAGGCAACCAAGCACTGCCATCTTTAGCCTCTGAGGTGACAGGGAGCATGGGAGACAGACAGCATCTGCAGTCACACATACCGTAGCCATATTAGAGATTATGATTCTATGAAACTTATGGACACTCATATTCCAGCAAAATCTCCAGGCACACAAGCTCTGTTTAATTTATTAAACACCTATTATCAGTTTTCACATGCACACACAAACACACATACACAGTACTATTTAATCTTAACAACCGTATGGGTTAGGTATAAACATTATTTCAAACATCTGAACTCAAAGCTTATGAGATATATACCAGGCCTGCGATCCCATCTACTTTGGAGACTGAGGCAGAAGAATCGTGAACTCAAAGCCTACACTACAGAGTGAGCTCAGGTCTAGCCTGGGCAATGTAGTAAGAATCTGTCTTAAAAGTAAAAAAGAGGGCCGAGGCTACAGCTTTGTGGTGGGGGGACTTGTGCAAAGCCCTGGGTTTGGTCCCTATATGGAGAAAAATTTTATCAGACAGGGTATTAAAAAAATCAGTAACGACAAGATTGATCCAAAGACACGCTTATGATATTCCATCCCATTTCTAACTGTGTGCAATAAGGTACTCAGATGGCTGGAATACTACTTCCTGTAGTCCTTTCTCAGCCATTGAACTTTAAGACCAGTGTGAGGAAGAATTCTATTTTAAGTTCTTCTGTAATCAAAGACTGATAGAATGGGGGGATTAATTATATACCGGTAAGTATATCTAAATCACAAATAAGTATAGACTGCTATAAAAACAGGAGGAAAGAACACTTTAGAGAATCATAGTTCTTAAACACATCAGGGGAAGAAACAGCTCTTCGAGGCCTCCCTCCTCCTAGCACTTTAGATGACAGTACTTTTCCCACAAAATGAAAACCAACCCATTGGGTCTCCAGAAATGTACCTTCCCTAGAAGCTGGGAAATAACACTTCAAAATCCTAGTCACTGTCCTCCAATCCCCGGCCCTTGAAGTGGACTTTACCTTCTACAGGGGAGGTTTTCAGTCTGGCGCAGATATCCTGTACACCTCCATAGTGGGAATTGATCTGGGCGACTGCATCAGCTGAACGAAGCTCCATGAGCTTTCTCAGGTCCATTAACGTGCAGCCAAACTCCCCTTCATAGTTCTCAGGTACCGAGCTGCTTCGCACGTTGTGTGTTGATGGGTGCGTCATTTTGCCTGCGGTTACCAGACTCTCAAACAGAGAAGATGTAGAATTTCCCTCCAACTGATCAGTGTCTCTTGCTTTCTCTTCCCCGTTTCTTCCCGCTTCTTTTTTCTCTTGGGGCCCAAATAGGGGATAAATTGACAATATCTTGTGCAACCAACTTCAGAGTAGCAACACAAAGCCTAGATCCTTTCTTCTGTATCAAGTCTACTAGTGAGAGGAGGAAGAAGTTGGGGGAACTTAGTAGAAGATGGACTTGGTGTCACGCTGATTGGTGTCCTCTGGGTGATGATGGAAATAATTGTCCAGAGTAGATAGGTTCCTAGCTTAGACTACTTGTCCATATAAAAGTGTAAACAGGATAAGCATGTTACCATGGAGGCAACCTTAGCAACAACCAGCAACTTCGATGATAGAGCAGCGAGTGTCTTCAGGAGAAAGAGGAGGGCTCCCTGGATAATGATGACAGCTAGGTCTCTGGAATAGAGATGCAAAAAAAGACAAAAAGAAACAATTAGAACAGCCATGAGGATCCAGAATCTGCAAGGTACTCTCCAGCACAAGGGTTTAAATGACAGTTGGTGTCTGAACGGAACTGATAGCTGAGGCCTAAGCTGAGAGGCCAGACTCATGGGAGGCCCTGGGTGGGCCTGTCAACTGGTAGGGTAGAGAATTTATCTCAGAAACACCATCTTTAAGTCTCTCTTCTTCCAAACCAAAGCACACAAACTATCTTAAGAAACTTGCTTATAAAAGGCTACTACCCCCAGGCAATAACTGATTATAGGATGCTTTAGTCTGGCTTTACCTGTAAGATGAGAGAAGAATCAGAAAATGAATCTAGATCCAAGGGGGCAGGAGGATGGCTTGTCCACACACCATCCACTCCTATGTGCCACACTCTTCCCTATACACAGACATTTACAAACCAGAAAGACAGGCTGATAAAAGGCCCTTTAAAACATTCAGCCTTCGGTGGTATGAAAATCTGGCAAACTATGGCCATTATCTGACACCAGATCTTGGTCTTAGGGCTAAGTCCTCCGAGCAGCTTTCCATGGTAACGAAAGACTAAAATGTTCTGACAGTTTATGATACATGGTGGAATCATTTTCTTCCTATAAAGGGCAGATGGACCTCTGAGGAAGGAAGATAGTAAGTCTGAAGGCTATGAGTGTTCAAATTCCTCCAATGAGGGAGAGATTAAGTTCAGCCAGTGCACAGGCCCTAACAGTCATCAGTGTGAGGAAGCAACACCAGAGGGTCTCATGTTAGTATAGAGACACATCAGAGAGAGGCTGGCATTTCTCCCTCAGTGAGAAAGATGTTACCTGGAGCACATACAGGCTGAGTGTGTGGGCATAGCTAAGTGTAAGTAAGGATGAGAGGGGCTGAAGGTGACACAGAGACTGAGCTGAGCCCTACGTGTCAGCCTCTCCAGTGTTAGGGGCTCTCACTAAATGTAGCACCCAAATATGGTGGGCACATGTTAAATACCCATCCTGTAATTGGGTTATGCTGCCAGGGGCTGGCAAGGCACTCCAATTGGTTGGGTAATAAACAGATGCCATTCTTGCTTCCAGAAGGTGAACAAAACTCGAGTCATCAGATAAGGACTTGGTTCCTTTTATCAATTATTTTCTTCAGAAACTGACTTGATCAAAGCCCCCTGCTGATTCCAACCAACCCTGCTTCAGGCAGGTTCCTCTGGGATGGAGGTTGTTACACCCTTCCATCAGTTAGCATGCCCTGTCAAACTTCTCAATACTCTGACTTACAGTAAGTTAAGCAAGCAGGGAATCCTGGGAAACATGGTCGGAAAAGGGCGTGAGGCAGTGGGTCTAACTCCCTTGCTCAGACTGGAATAGGAACAAGGCCAACACTAGCAGTCCCTTCCTATTCAAATCCTGTAGAATGGAGAATTGAGGATGGTACAAGAAAGGGAGCATGCATTCACGTAACTATGCTGTCATAATTACCCAATTTTGTTATTATTTTTGTTAATTTCATACTGTGTTTATTGTGTGTGTGTGTATGCATGAGTGTGTGTGCACTCGCGCCTGTATGGAGCTGGGAATCAGATTTTATTTGAGACAGGGTTTCTCTGATTGTTCTGGAACTTGCTCTGTAGACCAGGATGGCCTCAAACTCAGAGATATGCCTTTAATCCCAAGTGCTGGGATTAAAGATGTGCACCACCATTACCCAGCAGATTTTACTTTAATTTAAAATTTTCATTTTATTATTTTATATATATGGATATTTTGCCTGCCTGCATGTCTGTGCACCACTTGCATCCTAGAAGATACCCAAGGAGACTAGACAAGGGTGTCAGATGCCCTGGAAGTTAAGTTGTATATGTTTTTGAGCCGACATGCTTGTACTGGGAACAGAACGTGAGTCCTCTAGAAAAGCAGCCAGTGCTCTCAGCTTCTGAGCCATCTCTCCAGCCTCTTTTTTAAAGACTGTCTTACAATAGAGCCCAGGCTGAGATTCACAGTCCAGCCTGGCTGTAAACTCATGATCCTCCACTGTTGTCTCTCAAGTGCTGGCATTACAGGTGTGAGCCAGTACTCTTGACAGAAGGTTTTTATTTTTCCTGTCCCTGACCATACAGTGGTTACTCTGTGAAGCCAGGGATTCTTTTACCCATTTTACTCACTGCTTGCTCCCCATTGCCTAGGAGAGAACTTGTATATAGTGGCACTCAGCTGATATGTTTATTACAGAATACTAGGAGCACATTCAGAAACACACACACATACACACACCTGCTTCTTTCCCAGTCACTTTTGGTGAGTCACTTAGCCACCTTAGGACCTTGAATTGGGAGGAGAACCAGCCCCACACAGCATATCCTGCCAGGGAAGCAATAAAGGAATGGGACTCTTGACTTAATAAAGGAGCATTTCAACATGTTGGTGCTCAGTGTTCAGCACAAGGCATTCAAGCAATGGGAGAAAACCTCACTTGATCTGAGTGAACTTTTGTTTCCTTGTCCTTTAAGCAGAAGGACAATTGCTCCATGAACCTCTTCATCTTCCTCTCCAGGAAAAGAAAATTCTAGGGAAGCTTCCTTAACAATATCATGAGCTGGGTTCAGCCACCAACAATAGTCATTAGCATCTATGGTCCTGGGTCTCAAGAGAGTAAGAAAGGACCGTCTAAGTCTAGACTCCTTACTTCAAACCTCTCATCAGGTTCATGAGGGAGAAAGTCTTCCTCTCACAGAGACAACCCACAGAAGAGGTTACAGGCGATTAGAAGGCAGAATGGTACCAAACTGCTCCAGGAGAGGCAGAGACATACATGGCAGGTCAGTTATCCAGCCATGGTTACAGAGCCCAAGGAGCAGTGTGTGATGGAGACCTCAAGTTTCAGTGGGTTCTTTCTACTAAAGTCCTGCTGCACCAAGGGAAATGTGAGATCTCGAGAATGTGAGCTCTTGGTAACTGCTGAGCTTGCCAAAGAAGACTCTGTGAGCCTTAGAGTCTTCAAGCCAGGGAGGCATTACCTCTGTCAGGTCAGGATAGTCAGTCACTCAGAGGGAAGCGTTCTGGACTAGGCATGTTCTCCATCCTAGCGGATGATAGGCTAGAAGACTGAAGTCTCATCTTTTCTTCCTGGGGGCAGAAATCACATTACTTCATGTGATCACTCAGACTTGCTTCCGGGTGCACCTGAGAAGCATGCCACCCCACACTTCCTGATAAGGTGAGTGTCATGAGGCTCATCAGTAAGTACCCCCAAATAAGGAGAAAACCTATGACCTAAGTCACAACAGCCTGTCTGGTCATCTGTCCTTCAGTTCTGTCCACAAAACCCCTTACTCCCCGAGGCTCTCCTGGAGTACTGAAGAAGGCATTCGTCCCCGGAACATCAGGGCAAGGGGCAAGTGCCTGTGCAGGTGACAGTGGAGGTCACCTCTGATGGAAGGAACCTGTCCCCCGATCCTCCTATGGCTCTGAAACTGGATGGGGTACAGGCAACACAGCTTGCTTGGACATGGAGAAAAGGGACAGCGTGCTTGGAGTCAGGCTTCAGGCTGGTGCAGTGCTGCAGACAGGGTTGTCTAGGATAATAAATGACATGGGTCATTCTACTGGGGCTGTTCAGGACAAGGGACTTTCATGTCCTACCCTGTTCTGTCCTTTTCTCTGGGCCAGGAGCTTTTGCGTTAGGGCAAGTGGACAGCACTTGGGGGACACTCTTAGAATCACTATCAAGCATGGTGTGAGGGTATGGAGGAGAGCTCTCGGGGTAGGTGAGAAGGCTGGCCCTGTGTATGGGATGCACCAGACTGAGGTCTGAAAGCTGCTTCTGAGGTCCCCAGCGGCACCTGTCATCTTCTCTGATGAGTCCCCTTCATCACAAATGATGCTCCAATGTTCTTACACTTAGGAGCAGAGTGGGGATGAAGAGAGGTTGGGAAGGAGGGAAACAGTATTTTTTTTTTTTTTTGAGTACATTCAATGTGTAAGGCACTATACTTGAGACTTCATTTGAAAATGAGGCTGATACTCAGTATATGTAATAGGAATGCAAATATTGCATAGTACCTAGTTCAGCGACTGACAAGGACTGGCTGCTGTGTACTCAGTAGCTATTACCATTATTACTACACCGTGTCACTGAATGCTCAGCAACCTTGTTTTACAGCAGACAAATAAAGGCTTCAGAGAGCCAGGGTTTGAGCTCTAACCTGAATCCAAAGCCACTTCCACCTCAAAAACAAGACCAAAGCTACAGGAAAATGAAAACAAAGCTATGGATCTTCTCCCTAAACCTCAGAGGCGCACAGAAACCTATTGGTCCCTTGCCTGTGACCCATAAAGGCTTTGAAGTAGGTGACACGCCTTTTGACCTTTCAAAGCAGTAGTAGACTCAAAGCTCACCATGGGAAGACACTGACCAAATCTTCCTGTCTCATCCACTGCATGTCACCACACTGACACCATCCCAAAGCAGAATGAACTGTCTCTAGACTGGCATGGCTATAGGAGCCTGCAGCCCCCAACTGAGAAGAGCCCAGGAGTGTGGATATACGGCTGTTCCACATCTCACGCCTCTGCATCTCCTGCCTCCACAGCTCTTGGCCATTAAACTCCTAGTGATCTACACTCAGGTCTGCTCCTCTCTGGCATTCCAACAGCTTTCCAAAGAACTGTTCTATGTCAAGAAAGCCATCAAGTAGGCTGGCTATGTAGCTCAGCTGGTAGCATTCTTGCCTAGCATGTTCCACCCATAGCACCACATTGGAAGCCAGAGCCAGAGTGGTGGCAAACACCTGCAATACTAGTACTCAGTAGAGGCAGGAGATCAGGAGTTCAAGTCCAGCTTATATATTGAGTTTGAAGTCAGCCTGGCCCGCCTGAGACCCTGTCTAAACAAGAAAAAAAGAGGGCCAATGAGCTAGCTCAGAGGATATAGGCACTTGCTGCCAAGACTGATGACCCAAGTTTGATATCTGGGGACAC